CCATATAGCCTTATCATTAACGTTCCCACCTGTGTGTAGTTTGTTACCCCTCCTTTCCCAGCTGTTTCTGTTCTTGTCTTTGGTATAAGCAGCTCTAATGTTTCAGGTTTGTCTGACACCATTTGCTTTATATTTTTTGGCAGTGTAGCCTTAAGTTTAGTATAGGCGTCAAGGCAGGATGGACAGGAGTGTTTGTTGCGGTTGTTTATGGACTAATAACTCCTATTGTAGTAGTGTAAAGGGTTGTTCATTTAGGTTGTTTATGGATAGAAATCTCCTTTTCTAGAGTGAAGAAGGTTGTAAATGACCTCTAGGCATTTATAGGTTTATTCTAACCTGAATTGTTTTACTTTAGATTACATGCTGCAAAAATGTTTCAGATAGTTTACGGATATCTTATGCATAACTTGTAAAACGCGAACAAGACGGTCACTGCTGTTTGTTAAAGTTAAGCCTGAAGATTTTTGCATTTTTGTGGTTTGCAAAAGACACACTGAATTAGCAGAAATGGTGTAGCTGCTAGGTTGTGGTTGTGCGTTTTTTCTCCTGTGAAACTATATTTTATTAATAAATAAATGTCTGTTTTTTGCAGAGACCGTTTTCTTTCTGTCAGCAAACTGCAACATAAATACACTGATCAGCCATGACATTAAAACCACCTCCTTGTTTCTACACTCAGTGTCCATTTTATCAGCTCCATTGACCATATAGGAACACTTTGTAGTTCTACAGTTACTGTAGTTCATCTGTTTCTCTGCATACTTTGTTACCTTGTTCTTCAAAAGTTAGGACCCCACAGATAATAATAAGTATTATTTGGATGGTGGGTCATTCTAAGCACTGCAGTGACATTGACATGGTGTGTTAGTGTGTGTTGCGCTGGTGCGAGTAGATCAGGCACAGCAGTGCTGCTAAACACCTCAGTGTTGCTGTTGGACTAAGAACCAAAAATATCCAGCCAACAGCGTCCTGTGGGCAGCATCCTGTGACCACTGATGAAGGACTAGAGGATGACCAACACAAACTGTGCAGCAGCAGATGAGCTATCGTCTCTGACTTTACATCTACAAGGTGGACCAACAAGGTAGGAGTGTCTAATAGAGTGGACAGTGAGCGGACACTCAGTTTTCCAACATGGACGCGTTTGCGCTCACTGGGCTTGCATCAGGCTAGTTAGTTACAAGCACTTACCCACCATTAGCAGAAGCAGAAAGTGGGCTGTAATTCGGCTGCTTTCCTTTGTGCATCACTGTCGTGCTGCTGTGAAACGCTGCCTCCGCTTTGTATAATGTGCTGCACCACCCTGTGACTGCTGTAGATCTTGCTTTTTTAAATTTATCTCCCGTTGCCGCTCAAATGATTTCTTCTTATGATGCAATAAAACAACAGAAGCAATATGGCCCCTGTGCATGTAGAATGTGTAGAAATCTGTTGGATTTTTTTTCCCCTTTTTTTCAGTAAATAATGCATCAGCAGTAAAAAATCCACCTTGACAATTTTTTATGATCAACTTTGTCGACTAAACAAACCCTTGCAACCCTTGATAAAAGTAAATAAAAGAACACGTTTTCTAAGTGTAAAAAGGTTAACGCTTTCTCTGCAGGGAATTAGGAACTTAAATATGGCACCATTTCTGTTTATTTGTTTAACACATAAAATGTAAACTATTAAATGTGCCCTTACGTTTGCACAGGCCACATTTTATATTTTATATTTTGTATTATATTATTTTTGTTTCCCAACCAAATGAACAGTGTGTTCTCTGTAGAGGATGTGTTAACTGATTTTCACGTAGAAAATCAACAAATGGGGCGCCAAAACTTTCGCACACAAGTGTATGCATGGGAAATGTGTTCTTTGAGAAAGACACAGGAAAAATGATTAGAACTGTGAACCGTTTCTGCTTCACAGATGGATAGTAATGTATTTGCAGAAGCGAGTACTTGATTAACAATTTCTCAATTGTTCTAAATTGATTATTCAGAAGAGGGAACGATGTTTCATTTTAAACTCTGAATAGCGTGTGTGTGTGTGTATGTGTGTGTGTGTGTGTGCTGTATATAAACTGGCTGGATTATGTGATCACGCTGCCGGGTCGGTAATCTGATATTACTGTGTTGACGCATCCAGGCGTCTCTGTATGTGCTCATGAATTTTTGTGAGCACAGATGTGCTGCTAGGAGTTGGTCTCTCATGCATGTAATGCATGTGTAAGTGTTAGTGGGTCAAGCATTTCCTATTGCAGATCGTACAAGAGCGTTTAGCGTTGATTGCGAAGATGCACTCCGGGCAGGCGAGCGTGCACTGGTCAGGTCAGGGGGCCGGCTGGTTTTCTGGTAGATGCACTGCCTCAAAGGCAGAGAGAATCTTCAGTAAGGGATTGAAGCTGCAGTGAGGGATTTGTAAAACCAGCTTTGTTTGCATCAAATTTACGGCATTCCTATCGATCCCCGACCATTACTCTGTTCTAAAGCCTTATTTTCCAAACCCAAGTATTTCTGTGCGTTGTGCGGCTTTAATTCCACTGTCGACAAAAAAAAACATTTTGTGTGCTATTGACTGATGGCTGTAGCGCCCAGAGTTCTGTTTGAGTTCTACAATTTTCACGCCTCTCTATCCCCTCATTCTGCCTTAGACGATTGAGTGACGAGGCCGTCAATTTGTTGCTGTGAAATCCCTGATTGTGGCTCTAATGATAATCATGCATTTTTAAATAGGCGTTTAACATTTGCTGCTGAACTAGCTGGAAAAAGGGACACTGCTTGGCTGGAGCGTTCTGTGCTGTTATTCATAGAAAGAGCTGCTTTCCTTTATGTGCATATACAGGCCTTGATGGCTTTTTTTTTATTTCCTCTGCCTTTGATGTGATGGTTATGGCATATCCTTGACAATGTCACTTACATAGGCTAATGCATATAATACCATATCACATCCATTTCTGACTCTCCACGGAATACACATGTCAGGTGTTCATGTCATGGCGCATAAAGCCAGATTGTTTGAAAGAATGAATGACACGGTAAGGTCGTCAGTAACCCGCGTGGCAGAATGTTAATTGCGGTTTGTCAGAAACGTGCGTGTCACACCAAAGGTCCCCGTGACGCTTTTCTTGTTACGGTAATGACGCTGCCACACGGCGATTGACCTTTAATAATGACCATGTCAAACAAAGTGTTGCAGTGTTTCCTTTGAGCAAAACCAAACTTTGTGGCTGATACACATATTGATTCCAGAGGGCTTAAGTTCTGATGAAGTCAGATAACGAATAATGCTGGTAATATCAGCCAATGTAATTTTACATTTATGTCTTTGATTTGATTTGATTTTATGTTTCAATTTTAAACAGTGCTTTACTGTCTGATGATTGTCAGTTGTCGCCAAGTGATCAAACTTCTCAAACACAATGAAACAACAGAAACTCACAGTCTTAATGTGTGATAAGATATTATATTATGCGCACTGAGGATGGTTTGGATGCATTTTATATGCTTTTGTATTGGCTAACGATTAGGGGTGGGCGATATGATGATATTTGATCGTTATTGTGATAAATTATGACACAGTGGGTTTTTCTGAGCATATCCTGGATATCATCAGTGCTTAAAATCACGTCATAACTGCATGTTTCATTACAGAGTGAGCATAATAAGTCAGGTTTTAGTCATAATTTAGTCATCATTAGCCAAATTTACATGCAGCCTGATAATCCGTTAATAATCCGCCTTATGTACACCTTAATCAGAATACTCAGGCCATTCGGAATACACTTTCTATCTGATTGAACGAGGTAAACAATCTGTAAATAATCCGTTAAATAGAAGAATAATATCCGTGTAAACGCCTGTATCTGATTACATTCCCTATCAGAAAGTTTAAGTCCGTTCTGATCATGTTCGTCGTGTCATAGTGAAAGTTTATACCGTTCAACATGGCGGAGCAGAAACTGGTCTGCAGAGGATAGATTTAAAACAGATTTCGAAAATCGAAATGACACATTTTACGTCAGTTTTTTGTGGAATTTCTTGCCTTTTTTCATGAAGACGATGATAAGGTAGAAAGAGGGTACCACTCAAATAACAAGTTCCAGCCACGAAAAAACACTCAAAACCCCAAATGTCGTTATTATCATGTGATACAAACAAAGCTGAACTGCACTGGACCTGATTGGGCGTTTATGCACTCACAAGAATATTAGCAAAACCACAGACTGAAAGAACATGTGTGACAAATGCAGATATCACAGCCAGAGCTGGAGCAATATTTCACCACAAACTGGCAGCCAGTGACTCTTTGCCTGATTTCAGTCGGCATCTCTGCCATCTCTTCGGTCTGCTGAACATGCGGCGTGCATTCACGCCTCTTCGCCTTCTTTCTCTCTCGTAGCTCTTACTGGTTCTTGCTTGAATCACTCATTCAGTTACATCACTGACCATATCGTACCACAGGACGCTTGAACATTCTGAGTCACAAAAACGTTTGAATATATCAGAACAGAGCTTGATCTGAATACTAAAGATTGACTCCCTTCCCTTCTGACACTGCCAGATCATCCAGGCCTTCAGTTGCTTCTGAATGAGCTCCCGCATTTTTATAGGAAGGGGCAAATCGGGTTAAAATCGGGCCAAAAACGGTGTAGTGTAAGCCCAGTTTAAGTGACACAGCTGTTTAAGGTTTTGCCTTATCATTGGGAGATTGCGAGTTTCTAGGCGACACAGCAACTAAAAAAGCACCAATTATTGGTGAATTACTGGTAATATTATTGGCCAATACACAGGGACATAGGAACGCGCTTTAACTACTTGCCTTTTTTCCCCATTTGATTTTTTTGGTAATTTACATCAAATAAAATGTGTCATACTGCACTATAATGAACCAAGAGATGGCAGTGTATGCATATAACTGACACGTCAGCCCGCTAACGCACATCCTCTCTCTGTTCTCTCATTCTTTATGCAACCTTATGCAAATGAGCTGAGCCAATCAGATTGGTGGTACGTGGCATGGTAACAGATTATGTCACGCCCACAGTATCACGGTGAGATTTAACACTAGAAGCCTCACTGACTGGGAAATATAGCGGTTGATAAAATATTAGTGTTATGTTAGATGATTCGTTTTAAAGTTTACAAACAGTATTAGGCTGCTTTGGGGTTCAGTGCTGGCTTCTATCTGTGCACACACTTTCTCTTTTTGCACCTCAATCTGTGTGTGTTTTAGCGACGCCCCCAAAGTGACCTGTTGTTTTTGAGGGAAGCGATTCAGCTGTAATGAAAATACAGTGTTAACTCCTTAAATGGCCAAAAAGTTTTACTATACACTTGTATAAACTAAGAATAACTTAGCTGTTTTGCATTGTAGTCCATGTAGTTACTGTATAATAAGCCTTAATACGCCATAAGCCTGGGATTTTAAGAGTTTAAACAGTGCACAGCTACTGCAGATTTTGAAAAAATATAGATAAAAATAGAAAAGTATGAACTCCACTCTAAAACAAGTACACATGGGTCTCTGCTGCACTTAAATTTTTAAAAAGTTCAGATGTATTGTTATTATTGTTTTCGGCAGTTGCAGTCCTGAAATCTGTGGATGCTGCAGCCCCTTCAGCATCCCTGCCCATACAGATAATACTGTGGGTTGCTAATGTTGACCGATATTATCAGCCAGCCGTTTATCAGTCGAGCCCCCCCCCAGTGTGTGTGTGAGTGTATGTATTCCTGCTCTACGCTGCACCAGAGTGGACAGATGTATACGTGTCACTTAACATATGCCCGGTTTAAATACGGCCCCCGAGTAGATTTTATGGTACCATTTTGGTGTGCATCTGCTCAGGCATACATGCGCACGTGCATGCAGGTCTGCATTTTTATATGAATGCATCTGTATCTGATATAACGTGTTAATGTGAGCAGCCATGTGTCCGCTCGCAGGGCTCGGCGCAAGAGCGTGTGCATGCCCAAGAAGCTGACAGCTGTGAGTGTGTCGGTGTCCATGAAGAGTGTGTTGATGTGCACAGTGTGAATCCAGCCTCTTTCTTGGCACCCGGCGTGTGTGAGGACATGCCAGATGTTGTGTGAAAGCATGAGTGTGTGTGTGTTGCTGGTGTGTGTGTGTGGCTTTTGAGAAGGTTTATCGTATCTGAGGAGGTCAGCACGGATGGCATTCAAACTGCAGACGGATCTGGTTTATGTGTGAGATTTTCGGGATCTCCCCCAGGGTCTCATTCATTGTGACGAGTAGGCAGTAGGGTCAGTACTCGAGTGCTCGGTTAAACATTCGAGGTGCCAGTATTCAAATGCTGAAATCACTATTTGGGTATTTGTTGTGTTTTATCACTGGAAAATTGAGAAAATATACAGTCCAGTAATTCAGCGCCGTTTTATGTCTTTAACAGAACTGTAAAACGTAAATGTTTTGATTGTATTTGTGAGTAAGTATGTATGCTGTTCCAAGACGTGAGTGCCTTAATGTGGGTACTACGCCAAAGACAGGTCATTAAGTGTATAACTCAGATGACTGTTTTTAGTTGAGTTTTTAAATGAAAACTTTTAACTGAGTTTTTATTGCTAAATATGCAAGACTGATGTTAGGTCCCGTTAAAATATATTTCTCTAATAAGCTAACATGGCGGCACATTGTCCACTGAAGAGGATAAACAGTTGCAGAAGACAACAAGCTTCCATCAGCGTCCGTTGTTTCTGATAAGCTGTAGTTTTTGCTCATTAGCTCATCTGAATCTCTCTCTGTTACGTTACTTATCGGAACACAAAAAACCTGCCGATTTCCCTCAGCTATTTATAAATAAAATGTTGTACATTAATTGCATTAATTTTCTTTTTTTAAAAATGTTTAATATTATTCAATATTATTGTTCTTCGCATGGTGAAATGGTTATTCAGATTGATGGAGAATATGTTGTATGTGGTTCTTTACAGCACCAAAAAGGGTCCTTCTGTTCTTACAAGCTGGACATTGTAACAGCAGCAGAACCCATTTTGGTGCTGTATAGAACTATATATAGCTCATCTCCATCAATCTGAAGAACCATTTTACCTTGCAAAGAGCCATTTAAACATGCAATGGTTCTGTATTGAACTCATCGTTCTAAACAGAACCACTGTCTTCACTAAAGAACCCTTGAAGAACCATCTTTTTTAAGCATGTAGCTAGCAATAAAGCTTAAGAGTGTGTCTTTGTCAGCACGCTCAGGTAAAAGCGCTTGTGTAATATGCATATTTACTCAGAAACGTGAGCGAACCCCCCACATTTTGCAGTTCTGTTAAAACATAAAATTAGGCTGAAAGATTAAGTGTTTTATATCAAAATTGCAAATTGAGTGCAATTTTCGAATCGTAAGAGCTTCAATTTTTATTATAGTCAATGTGGATACATAGCAAGCTTTAAGTAACCTAATAACGTTGAGCTTATGAACTGCCTCTAGATGAATTTGACTCATCAGAAGCAACTAAACTGTGACATCACAACCACTGGCAGGCTGGAGCACTGTGTTTATTGTTCATGCCTCAAGCCAGAAAAGTATATGCTGATCTTCTTAGCCACAAAAAAAGGCCCATACCTCTGTTTATAGAAAACAATATATAGAAAACTATCATTTTACAATTAGATATTTTCAGCCCTAGAATTGGGTGTATATGTTCTCCATCTTACAGCGATGACACTTAAAAAATAGAGATAGAAATAATAGAAATATAAATAAATTTCTGCACCTTAATCTGTTACCTGTGGAGTACCTGTGCACACCCTTACTGCAAAGTCAACTGATCTTGACCTTTTTTTTTTAACCTTAAAATCCCAGACTTATTGCATACAAAGGCTTATTATTCAGTAACTACAGCACTTCAAAGCAAACTGGTTGAACTATTCTTAGGTTATAGAAGCTTGTTATAAAACTTTGGGCCTGCTGGTGGGCGCTGGCCATTTATGAGGTTAAAAAAGTTTGTTTGTTGTGCTGCTCAGTATTGTATTGTGACACTTGTAACATGATACGTATCGTGTCGTGAGGTTGCTGCCAGAACCCAGCTCTAATCTTTACAGTGTGGAAAAAAGCGTGTGAGTGAGAGTGTTGGGTGTTAATGCGCAGCCCTCATTATAGAAGCTTCCTCATCTGCCTACAGCAGAGTGTGAAGAGAATTTCCGTACAGATCCTCCCTCATCATTTCCTCAAACCTGGAGCTCAACAGACCAGCTGTGACGGAGTCACACTAAAGCTAGAAACAACATTTAAGCTCGAACTTCAGTTTTAAAGAAGTTAATTAATGCACTCTCAGAAGTAATCATTGCACACTGGGTTATAAGGTTCTGCAGACAACCATTTAAATTTGACAATACTTTTGCCAGCTGAATGGTTCTGTAGGGTTCACAGCACTCTGAAGAACCACACCAACACGCCAAAAGTAACAAAAACATTTCATAAAGTGCCTCACATCCCTATCTACAAAGTCACAGGTTCAAACAGATCTATTTTTGGATTATTGAGCTTTTTTTCCATAGGGATTCTTTTTGTTGTCAGGTAAACTGTTTCGCAGAGGTTCTGCAAAGGACCACCAAGGAATGGTTTCTAAGGCTTTTGAAACTAAATGGTTTACTAAACCTTTGAGAGCTAGAGACATAATCTTTTTATCTCAATTTGATGACATGCTTTAATCATGGATGCAGAGACACAACCTAGTTTTAGATATTCTATTGAATATTATTTAGAATATTTAAATATTCTACAAGAATAAGAAAAAGAAAGTGGACATGTTTCACAGGGCCCAAAGCCTACAAGTTCTTATATTGTTTTAAGTTTTTTCCATATGGTGTTTGTGTGAGTTTATGTGCCAAAAACAGTAAAAATGCATTTTACATGACCATTTTCTTTCCACTCTTTAGCCCTTAGAATGAAAAAAGACTGTATATGTCACTGTGCCTTTAAGACTGATATATGCTAATAGGCTCTGACTGGCTGTTTTGTATTACACCTCATTCAAAAAGCAATCTGAAACGGAAACACTGCTTATAACTTCAACATGTATGGGCGAAGCTAAACTGCTATAGGCTGAGTAGAGTGAATGTAAATGTGTTATTTTTTGTGAAATCCCAAAAATAGTTCAATTCAGTTCAGTATGGGCTGTGTTTGCAGACTGTATGGACTGAGCAGTGAATAGTAGTTTTGAAATTTTAAGTGTTCACGTTGCATCAAATTCTTTTTTTTTCAAAAAAAAGTGAGGAAAACTTGTTTTTCCCGTGATATAAGCCCTTGAATGACCAAATGAGAAAACAAATTATAGTATTATTAATTACAGTTAATAAAAGTTATTATTAGTTACTGTGGTAATTTACTTCTGTGCTGTTCTGTTTGTTTATTTAGCTTTGTATTTATGCTTTTTAATGAACCTTAATTGATGAAATAATAATTAATAAAAAGCATCAGTGAAAATGCTATTGTGGGGCATCCTGCCCAATCTGGCAACACTGCGCAGGTTGTTATTGCAGTTTGAACGTGTCAGTGATGGACGGCAGTAGTGTAGGACAGCAAAGGAAACAATGTCTTTTTAAACATGTCTTCAAAATGAACCAACTTTGCTCTTGTCAGTGAACGGGGAAGGGAGTGAAGTTTTTAAGCCGCTAAAACTCTTAACGCTGGAGCACATGCAAAACTCGGCCACAACAAATACAACTGAGAGCATGCTGGCTAACAATCTGGAGAAATGGGAAACTTAATTGGACTGTAGCAGCCTAGTTTTGCAAGCTGTGCCTCCAAAGAGTCTACTGTACAGAGCTAGAAACCGTGTGCTACCTAGGGCTGGGCAATATGACAGTATATATTGTTATTGTGATAAATTATGTCAGTACTGGATATATAACTACATGTTTTGTTATAAATAGAGCAAAATTAGTCCTGTTTACCTGGATTTAGTGCGAAATATTGAATACAAAATGGCTGTGTTTACAGTTTTTGATAGTATTTTTTAAAATGTAGCACTACTGGCACTTTTCAATCTGTTCCATCTGATGTCTGAAAGAATAAATATGTTGACATTGTGTATCATGAAATTAGTACTGCAATATTTTTGCTGTATTGCCCACCGCTAGTGCTACCAATGACAGGCTAGGATTCAACTTAATAAACATGTTTTAGTGTGCGCATTCGTAAAAACAGTAAAAGTTTCAGTCATTTGAATGTTTTTTTTTGTTAATAGTGTAATTATGGAATGGATTGAATACTCTTGAAAATGTATTACAGTCCTAGACACAATATAGTACAATGACACGGATATTAGAACCTGCAGGTTTCCACAAATGAAACAGAGCTGTACTGTTCGAAGGCTGGTCAGAGTAACAGTCAAATCATTGCTAATTCATTGCTTGTGCTCTAGCTTGAGAGACCCAGAGAACGTGGTCTAAATTCCTCCCAGGTACCTCCATAGTAAGGAATCATATATTACAAACCGAATTCTCATTTAAGCACCCTCTTTAATAGATGATATTTTCATTTCAAATCCGATCAGAGCGGGAGGCATTAGGAGGTGTACGCTGGTAGCTAAGGATGGTGATAATCATAGAGGGTTAAGGCTCTTCACAGGGCAGATGTAGCTCAAGGGCTGATATATTTTATATGATGTTGGACAGCTCAAGGTTTTTTCTGCTTCAGCCTGTCCTTAGAAAGACTCGCTCTGCGAAGAAAAAAAAACTTAATCTTCACTCTCTGTAAAACAGAGCATCTGCTTGTTTGGGTGCGCATGCCGTTCTAGTAGCCTAAGTCATTAGCATGCAAATCTGCCAGGATTGGACACCTGCACTTAAGACAAATACGGTCAAACTACAAGCCGCCCCTGTGTTTTGACTCCTGCTGGGAGGGAGCAGTGTCTCAAAGAGACCCGTGAACCTGAGAGTCAGAACAGCTGGGTTAGCTGTTCCCCGCAAGCACCGCACGTAGCCCAGCGCCCAGTACCTACTGTTAAAGAGCTAGTGCGGATCCACCCCACCAGAGCTCCT